TACGGTTTCTTTGTCATCATTTGAGCACCCATCAATATGATTTCTCATATCTCCTTTAGCACCAAGAATAGATGCTTCCCTAAGATCTTGGCAGCAGCTAAGGCACAGATCATATGAGCAATTCATGCAGTGCCGATGATAATCAATGATTGATATCCGACAGAAATCACTGCAAGAAAACAGAATTTGAAATAAATCTCATATGTGCATACAACATTTCTACACCCTCCAATCACTTTGTCCTATCAAGAAGACAGAAATACCAAAGACAAAATTCTATAATACACAAATTTCCTTTAGGTTTTACCATCAAGAAAAAGGACATATCAAATTTTATGATCAGAATATTATGACAAACCAAAGCTCAAAAACAAGACCGTGTACAGGTAGTTCCCGAAAGAAGAGGAGTTTTAAATTACTACATCTGGGAGTCAAATGAAAACCCGGTAAGTGTTCTTGATAGTACCAGCACATTTGCTCATCAGCATTCAATTTTGTCCTGGAAAGATCTATTCCGTTTCCTGGAGAAAATGTAAAAGGCAGTTACCATCACAGTAAAATTCATCTGCGGAAACTCGACCTCACCTCAGCTCAACAACCACAAATAGTTGTGGATATTCTACCTCCAACATGCAATGAACACATCAACAGCATCTTACCTCGAAGCCTTTTCTCAAGTTCCACCTCGAAGCACTGGTCGCGATGGATCTGCTTAACTACAGGAAGCACTGAAGATAAGAGGCAATAAAAATACTGCAGCTTGTCTTGGGCAGGTATCTCACGTATTCTTCCCTGTCACTCAGAACAATTGTGATCAACCTCTGAACAAAGGCACAAATTCATTGATTTAAACTGAAAACGTATCTTTCAAAGTTTTAAAGAAATTTGTTACTGCATACCTTTACCAACTTATCTCCCCGTAAGCACACCTTGCAATTACAACTACCACGACATGCAGGACAAAGCCTTTGGATCTCTTCTACTCCCATTTCAGAATACCTAATAAAGGAAGCATTATTTATTTATTTTTTTTTTATCAATGCATAGATTTCATTAAAGTGGGCAAGGAGTCCACCCCATGCAAAGATAACAAATATCAAAAAAAAAATACATCCAGAAACATTAATCTAAGTACAAGCCGCTATCCAATCTAGATTGAAATAAAGGAAGCGTTATTATTCATCAAGCTGATAGTGTAGACGGATATATTTTTCGCTGAATTACTAATCTCACCAAGTAGAGATGCAGCTATCGCAGTATCCTCTCCTATCACATTTATGGCACCAAATTACCCTGTCTCTGTCATTCCGCTGGCAATGATGGCAAGTTTGCCCACCATTATTGTCAGAAGAATCTGAACTTCCACCTGAAGTTTCCTGGAAAGAGAAGCGCTCATGAGGAAGGCACAAAATACAAAATATTACTAACAGGTGCCGAAAGGGAATGCATTTACTGGTAAATCTATCTAGAGATATTGCAACCTCACCCACCGTCATGGGACTAGTGTCAAAGAACTTCTGCGATCTTCTCTTCCATGAATCCACAGCGGACGGAGGTGGCGTCTTGTAAGACCTCCGATTCTCTTCATTCTGTGAAACATATCATTGTAGATCATCATTTGACTTCAAAGGATTGCAAACAGATAAACTCCTCATCGAAGGTGGTTCAGGTGAATAACTGACCTGGTTCTTTGGGACCTTTTCCTTCGACTTATTCCCTGAGACTGAAACAGGATAATCCCCAATTTTTTCATTAACATGTGGTAAATCCATATCATCACTCTTACTCTCCAAGTAAATATCACTTTCACCTAAAGATTTTCTTTTGGCTTTCTTTAGACTGGCTCTCAGTGCGGAATTGGCAGCCCTCTTTTTTGCTTGGATGTAGTGCTTTTCACATACTGTTTTATCAGGCATAGACTTGGCAGTGCATCTCCATTGTTTCCCATCTGACCTCTTACAACGCAAATCATCAGGAATTCCAATAGTATCCTCACCCATTCCAGAGGTCGATCGTGAATGATCCATGATAGAAATGGATCAATGGAGTCAATGGAAATACATCATGCGGAGCTACATGCTAAGGTCAACCTGCAAATATCCACCTAATAACATCACACAAGGCCCGACAATTGAGATGATAGCGCATGAGAAATCATAGATCAAATACCCTACAAACAATAAACCAATTTCACAGGAACACACACGTACACACACAAGGCCAAAGTGCTTGGCAGTTGAGGAGAAAACGAAAAGCAAGCCAAACATTCAGTTAAAGAGTACACCTGTGGTTTCCCTTATTATCAGATTTCTTGTGCCAAGTGAATTGAATGGAAGTGTTTAGGTCCATACTCCTCAAGAGAAGGTTGAACACAACACACAGCATACAACATTGAGTTTCCCAAGTTCGATATTTCTGGTTTGTGAACAATATGTAGGCATTAAATCAGTAATTCACACTTTGAAAGCTTAATCAAGCGCCCTTTAATCAATTTTATAGGAACCTAAGACTAAATTATATTTATTCAAATATCAGAGCAACAATGCCTTCGAAGTTTGAAGATACCCCCAAGAATCAAATACCAAGCTTATCAAGAATTGAATTCCTCCACCTGTAAAATAAGAAATTAATAAAAAAAATATCAAATATCATCAAAGAAATAACAAATATAATCAACTCTACACGGACAAAACAAAGTCCTACCTCAATTGAAAACTAGGGTTTTGTGGAAATAGTATTGAAGACTATCACAGGATAGACCTTTACATATATGTACACACACGTGTATATGTGTGCAGAGGGTTTTGTGGAAATAGTATTGAAGACTATCAAAGGAGAGACCTTTACACATAAGTACACAGAAAAGTGTATGTGTATGCAGATAGAGTGATAAAGAGAGAGATAAAGTTGCGAAGACAAGGAAAAAGAACCACAAAACATCAGTTTATAACGAACATAGAGTGATATATATATATATATATATGAAGATGTTTAGTGAGAGAAAACCTGTAGAATTTTGAGGTGAAAATTTGAGATCCGAGATTTAAGTTGATGGCTATGGCGGTTCGGAGACCGGAGCTTCAATGGTAGTCGGATTTAGGAGACCTTTTGTCTGCAAGGGATGACACAGATGGAGGAGAGAGAACGGCAACGAACAACTAAAAGAAAACGATGCCGTTTCACAATAGTCTTTTTTTTCGTTTTTGATATACCCACTTGGTTAGGCCCGGAAACGGGTCTGCCTAGGTCTTCTTGCAGGCCAGGCCGGGGATGTGGGCCTTGCCATTGAGTTAAGGCCAGTAGAAATTTGGAGTTCAGTCAACCTCTTTTCGTTGATTTATTTAAACTTATTGTTATTTTTTATATTTAAATGTTACTATTTTTTTGTGTTTGAATATATATTTATATAATAAAATAGAGTTGAGTTTGAATTCAAAAACAAAAAGAGGTCCAGATCGTTTTGAGACAAAATATAAACATATCTAACGAATAACGTAATTCCAATAAAAAATACAGTTCAGATCATCTCATAAATATTGATCTGACGGTCATAATTGAACTTAACTCTACTACTCTTATCTCTCATATAACTATCTCTCTCTCTTTTATCTATTAGACGTTTTAAATACACTATCTCATCTCATCTCTCTCTTTATATATATATATATATATATAAAGTAGCTAGATTATTTGTCTTTAACTTTTAGCGGCTCAGATTGTTTTGATCTGATAATCCTAATTAGACTTTCATTCTTTTTACAACTTTAAATCTCTTATATAATTCTATTTATCTATCTTACACACTCTCTCTCTCTTATACTGTTATTATTATTTTTTTCTCTTGTGTTGTTTTTGCTATTAGTTACTCCATAAAACATATGAAACTAAATGTTATTCAATTATTTATTCCTTGAAACTAATTCAAAATTTTTATATATCTGACCGTATGTATTTTGTCACTTGCTCCTTAATTTGTAAATAACATTGAATGTAAATAAAAAATAGCACATTCACTATAAATACCAAATAATATTTAACATAAAATGAACCTTAGATTGTAAATTAATATATATTTTTATCAAAAATTAACACTTAATTTTCTCTAATTTATATTCAACTTTATCGAATATCAAATTAATATTAAAATTTATTTAATCAATTTTTTGGAGTACTAAATTTTATCAATATTTTGAGTACTAAATCAAATTTTATTTTATTTTATTAAATTTTTAATTTTTTTGGTACTAAATTTGGAGAAGGATAAATGTAAAAATAAGAAAGTTTTTTAGGATAAAATTATCAATTTTCATTTGCAACATTGACAAAAGGAAGACAGAGGGGGTCTTCGTGCAATGAATAACAAACCTCAGGGGGTCTTCATATTATTTATAAAATATCATGAGGTGTTCGTGTAATATTTCCAAAACTTAGGGAATATCCATAATTTTTAATTTTTTTCCCTATTTTTTAATTAAACATTAATATATTATTATTTTACCTTAAAAACTTAAATTATTGTATTTCTAATAAAAACAATTATTGGTTATAAAGGTTTGTTGGTAACCAAAAAAGAAATGTGTGAGTGTGTTTTTGTGTATATTTACATGTGGAGGATTAAACATTTAGTGATTAAATTTATAATTATATTGTGTTATTTGGGATTGAGAGGTGACAGTGATGATAAATTCATGAGTTTATAAATGAGCAAAATTTGGTTGATTTTATTTACCGTTTAAAGATTGTGAATTTAATTGTATTCTGTTAATACATATATATTTTTTTGTTTGAGGTATTTATTACATAGAGATAAGGTGGATTGAAAATATGGTAGTTGAGTTGATAATTATGTTGTGTTATTGGATGAAATGGTAGTAGAGGTGATAATTCGTGAGTCTTATAAATGAACAAGATTTTATTTATTTAATTTATTTCTTAAAGATTATAAATTTTAATGGATTATGTTAGTATTTTTTTTCATAGGCATTTATATATATGGTGTCATTTTAGAGAGTTTTTATATATTTTTATAACAGTTCCATTAATATGGAAGATATAATTGACAATATATTTTGAGTCATTTTAAAAGAAGAATTTGTATGAATATTTTTAGATCATTTCTTTTGAATTTGGACAATTGTTTAAAAAAAATTTGTTTGATGTATAGTGTCTTCAGACACGGGTAATGACTAGTATATATAGGTCTAGATCGTTTTAAAACAAAACATAAACACATCCAACAGACAACAGACAATGTAATTCCACCATAAAAGACGGTTCAAATCGTCTCATAAATACTGATCTGACGATTGTAATTGGACTTAACTCTAACACTCATATCTCTCATATAACTCTCTCTTGCTCTCTCTTATCTCTTAGAAGTTTTAAATACACTATCTCATCTCCTCTCTCTCTCTCTCTATATATATATATATATATATATATATATAGATAAATTTCTTTATCTTTAGTTTTTTGTGGCTCAGATCTCTTGACGATTATTAATCTGACGGTCCTCATGTCAAAAATTTTAAGACTTTTATTTCTTACTAGTAATTGCACACGTGCGTTGCACATGAATCATTCTAAATTATAATTTTCTTAATTTTTTTTAATAAATATAGTAACAAATATATGTTTACCAATCAAATGTAGAGAATAAAAATAATAAATTAAATTCTCTTACCTAGGTAGGATATGTTTATTTTGCTATTTATTTAGTGGTCAGCAGCTCGGCGTACATTATGATTTCACGAATAACAATTGACTATTATCAACGATGGAAGTAAATAAAGTAATTCATAGCAATTGTCAACACCAACTTAAGCTAAAAGCAAAGAGACTTGGAAAGTTATACCTAATGCACTAGTGTGAGTTGAGAAGTCTCATAAAAAAAAAAGGTAATACCCACACACAACCAATTCCTTTTTCAATCTTGGCTAGAATAAAGTCTTTAATTTTTTTTTTAACTGATAAAATGAATTTTTCCAATAAGGTATGTTAACAGTATACCTCTATGCCCAGCTTTAGCCTGAGTAATAAGTTATTAAACATGTCGCAATTTTGGTTGTAACATCCCATGTCATGGGAAAACTTGTTTGGATGAAATTGATAACTATCGGCTTATAATTGTGAAAAGTTGGGGGAAGAAACTAAAAAAATTCGTAAAAATTCCGGGGCTTTCTAGCAAGTTATCGATTGTGCTTCTGATAAATTATATTGATCGTTCACGAAGACAACAGAAAAAGCAATGCATGAGGCGGCAATCATAAGGATTACTATCTGACACCATGCATCCTTGGGGAATATAAAAAATAAATAGGAACCAAAGTTGAGGGGAAACCCCTGAATTGCAAATGTTTGTAGGAAGAGGCCACAATGGCTTTTCCTGGAGGTGAAAATGGAAGCCACTAAACTTGAGAATCGAAAAATAAGAGAAGTCCTAAAAGGAAGGTAAAGAAAAAATCTTTTGTAGATTCAAATTAAAGGACCTATATTTTGATGGATGGGTTAGATTGCTAGTACGTTGACATGAGGTGTGTATGTGCAACTCATCTATTAAGCAAGGAAGGCATATCGCGAAAAAATAACAGAGCATAGAGGTATAAAATAAGTCATAGAACCTGTGCAATATTGTTGCTTGCTTCAATTGTTGTCATTCATGAAAGTCTACTTATATTCCACTTGACTGTATTTAAAATAGAATTAGAAATAGTTGGTTTTGATAAATAGACTGGAGGCAAAAGACCAGTCTTGATACTTTGAAATAATCAAGTAATTGAAATACAAGATAGAAAAACATTAGTTAGCCCCGAAAAACATTAGTTTCTTCACATCGGATTCATTTCGTAAGATCAAGCCTATCACTTCTTTTTTCTGTTATCAATTCCCATTAGCTTTAATAAAATAGAGTGTAACCAATATCATTAGCAACTCAAAGAACATCACGATCTTCTTACCAAATTCCACAAAAAAATGTGACAAGACTGTTTTGGTTGCACAGAACAAATGGTAAACCTGAGCTTCTAAATAACATTTGTGCTAATCTTTCAGTTGTTTTCAATTTCAGTCTGAACAATATCAAATTGTAATTTAATTTCATTACGCTTTCTAAAATTTGTGCAACTTAATAATATAAGAAAGGCAAGATGTAAATGAGAAATTCCACGCAGGTGTTGTCAGTTACCTCAACCATGCCAAAATTAAGCAAAAGGAAGGAAGCTATTCAAGTGATGGTCTGGCTTCCCCTCGGTCAGTTTCCTCTCCTTCTCTATTGATTAATGAAGTGATGAGTAGCGATGATTTAGAGAGATTAGACATAGGAAAAACAAACAGGCGCATAAGTTGAGATGTATTGCTAATATCAGGCGACCGAAGGAAGAGAGATTCACAAGAGTTTTCAAGAGATAAACAGTGAGAAAAAGCTCAATTTGGGACTATATTAAGTGTTTTTTTGGGTGGTAAGTAAGTAGTATTAAGCATTCATTTAGTGTTGTGTACATGAGTTTTTGATGTTTTGTATCACCTCTAATATGGAATTCTGAAATGGTTCAACTTCTGGCAAATGTTCTTCAATGCATTGTAAATATTTATTACCAAATTTATTAGCTTTAAAACCTTTATTATTTAATTAGGATAAAAATGACTTTAGAGTAGGGGATTAGTCAAAAGTTTTTCCTAATAGTTGACATTTATATGTAGTATAATATAAATATAGATATATATAGACAGAGATATAGATAAGATTGAGCAAAGAAAAGAAAAAAAAATACAAAATCCAAAATCCAAAATTTAAATTAATTATTACAGCTCAAATAATGTCAAGTTTATATACATTATTAATTTAAGAAGATGAAATGATATGATATTGTTTATAAAGAAGCTAATCAAAAATCAATTAATGAATTCATTAGTTATATTAACGCAAACAATAAATTTATGAGAATTCTTGAAATGAGAATAAAATAGACATTATAAAATTACTAAAGGGTAAATAAAGAAATTAAAAGTTTTTCACTTTAAGCCACTTTTATAAGTAGTATAGATTTAACTCTCTTTCTCTCTCTATCTCATCTATACTAATAAGAT